TCTGTGATTCTGTGATTCTGTGAAAGGTCTTCTAAGATTTGCTTTGGGAAACAGGGGAGATTAGGGCAAGAAATAAGGCTTAATACCATTTTCTGGACCAGAGAGTCAGATGAGTGGAACAGGTCCTGTTTCTATCCAGGGATGCACTGGTTGTCTCCTTCCCACCTCTTTCCTGGTTTTAAGGACTTGTGGCTTGTGCAGTTTGTGTGCTTTGTGCAGGAAACCTCCTGTCATCTATAGCTAGAGACATGAAAGCCTTTTCCTTCAGTCAGAAAGACTTGGGGCTTTTCCTTGTTCTATTCATAACAAGGAGTCTGGCCTGTTTTTTAAACTTTAAAGGATGCCTCTGTGAAGTTGAAGACAGTGGTGAAAATGATTGTATGGTGAAGATGCATGCCTACATTATTGTTGTATTTCCCCAGACTTGGTGTATTTTGTGTAGACCTTGCAGAAGCTTGTCTGCTTGTTCCCACAGGCAAACTGTTAGTGTCCTCAAATTTTGAAAAATAGAGGCGGGTTGGGTTTGTAAAGCATCCCACCTAAGGATTGCCTCTGTCTTCTTGATATGGGTGTATGAACTGCCCGTCTCTCCAGACCATCACTACTAGGGAACAATTAGGAAACCACCCCAATACTGGTTTTGTGCTCCAGGCACAAGGGTTAGAGCAAACGTTGTGAGCAGGATCTCAACAAATGACATCAGCCGAAGCTGCAAGTTTGATCTTTCTTTGACACTTTGATAAAGTTCTGGGAGTTTAGTGTACCTCAGCGCCAGGTCCCCTGGCAGAAACGCGCATGCTGCCCTGATTCCAGCAACAGACTGTCTTAGGAAGTGGGAGGCTATTTCCTTCATCTTTTGTCCTTTGTGTCACTGGCTTTGTTCCCAATGCCGTGGCCTTGGAAGAGACAACATTTCTGTGTGAGGACTGAGCGCTTTCTCATTTAGTCTTCCCCTTGAAAAGCTCTCTACGTTAGTATTTGATCAGTTCTACACATCCCGAGAACCAGAAACAAGCTACTGGGGCCATTCTCTGCAGTCTGTGAGGTCATTTTGGGACTATCTGATAAGAGAGAGGATGACCAGTCCTACAGTTTGTTACCTAAAGCTGAACAGCCTCCAGTATTACCAGGTAGAGAAGCATATCCTGTCTCTTCTTGCACTGCCAAAGAGACAAGCACAGGAGAGCAGATAATTAAATAACATTGGTTGAGTAAGGTGGGTAACTACAGTAAGGGATAGCAATGGGAAATATGTTTTGTATTGTGAAGTTATTTCTGTTTTCATATATCTTTTTTATTGTCTGTGGGGAAAATACTATTTAGTCGAGGCAGAAGGAAGCTTCATAATGGTCTTTCATCATATCACTTGACATCTTACTGCCTTCTGTAACCTGTTTCTTAGTATGGATTTTCCGTATTGGCTTACTTGCAACTTTGGTGAATTCACTCTGTGTTTTACATTGCTGGTGAAAGTTAGGAAAAAATCCTGCCAAGCCCCAAATGTGTTTGGTTTCTCTATGGTAAAGGAAAGGTGGTAGTCACCTTTGTATTTCTACTGTAATTGATTTTATTGACTCCAGGCTTAAATTCCATTTATTTTGGCTTAGGTGGAGGAGAGATTTAGAAAAACTAATCAGGGCTCCCCTGAAGCACAGTCTAAGCAGATGGGCAAAGTGTTGGAGCCACCAGTGCCTTCAAGATCAGAGTCCTTTTCCAATGGAAACTCAGAACCTGCTCAGCCTGCCCTGCAGAGGCCGGTGGAGCCTCAGGTAAGTGCCCAGGAAAATCTCGGTGAGCCTGGAGGAAATGCAGAAGTCCCAACATGTTTCATTCAGATTTGCAGATCTTGGCACATAGAAAGTCTTATGTAAAGGGTAGTGCTGTTACACAAAGCAGTTTATTCAGGAAATTTGCTCTTTGTCTATTTTTGCTTAATTTATTGATAAACTGATGGATTTGTGGGTTTGGTGTGGGATTTTCTTTAATATTAGAATTAGATTAGAGCTGTTGCTGTCTATTATTATCTGTGCAATGGAGGAATGGTGGGCTAGACACTGGTGACAGTTGCAGTACACTTTTACAATTCAGAATTTGATCTATGCAAGGTATTTACTACCAAAGAGGATGCTCAGAAAATAAGTGAGCTTCCTTAGTTTTTCAAATTCTTGCAGAAAAAGCTAACTAAACTAGCGGTTTTTCATAGTATGGGCACTAATTTACAAAACATGACTAAGAAAAGCAAGTTGCTAAAAAGAGCTCTGTACCACCCCTAGAAAATCAGAAAGTCATTGAAACAATTGAGTTGTGTGGCTGCCATCATTCTGTCATTTTCTAATGAAGAGCCTCCAGATTTTGGTATCTGTATCTCATAGGAATTACAGCATGGATTTAAAAAGTAACCTTTGACTAAAACTTAGACATAGCCCCTAAATTCTGAGTGATGTAGATATACTGAATTAAACAGTACTGTTCTGCATTCAGTTCCTCTGTTTCCATGCAGAATTTTCTTCTCCCAAATTAAGTCTGTTGATTATAGTGCAAGCTAAAACCATCCTTGCTTGTGATTAGGTATTGCAACTCTTGGGCAACAGGAGAATTTGAGCAGACGGGAGAGTGGGAGAAACCAGGACAAAACTTAATCTCTTACTCATTAATTCCTGGCTTTTATTCAAACCTCTATGACTATTTCAAAATATTGGACTTGTATCTTCATGCTCTCTGTTCCAGATACTTTTAAAGTCTGGGTCTTCCACTCATATTAAGGATAATCAGACTCTTCAACAGCTGTGTGTATTAAAATTGAGGAAATAATAATCATATAAGAACAAATACAACCAGCCTACTGAAACTGAGGTTGAAAGCAAAGTTTTGCTTAATTATTAGGTGTGAAAACAGTATGTTCCTCAGTTATGGCCTTTCCTCTTCCCTTACTTTCAGAAATTAAGTCTGAAATGCAGTTTTGTGCACAAAGGAGGGAGTAGGCTGAAGGGTCAATACGGATTTCAGTGGAAATCCCAGACAAGTTCTAACTGTGGAGTCAGTGTTGTGCCTTCTTAGTGTGTATAATTGAATATGTGTGTGTGTACGTGCGTGCTTAGTTTGTGTATAAATATGTATATATGTACAGTATATGGTACATATATGATGTAAGTATAATATGCGTTGTACATATGTATACTGTATGCAATATATATTATGGGTTTTTAATATATATATCTTGCAATGGCTGTAAAGGAATAAAGGCTTTTGTGTTATGGTCTTTCTCCAAAAGTTTGGAACTGTATTTAGTTCCTAAATTTTTTAGGTAACATAAATGTCTGTCGGTTTGCACATTTTACAGCATTCTTTAATTTTGTACATTTCTTCAATTGGGTATCCACTTCAAATTTCCCAACCCACCAGTGCTGCCATGAGACCTGACCAAAGCCCACTGAAGACTGGGGAACAGCAGGCAACTTCTGTCTTGAGTGGCCTTTGGACTCAGGCTCATAGTGCAGATATCACCAGGTTGCCTTTTCTTTTGGGCACCAGTGTATGTGTATGTGGAGAGCGTATCTCACAAAAAAATGTGTATGTGCTGTATTTTCAGTCTGTTACGTTCTTTAGGCGCTTGCCTTGCTTTTAAGTGCATTGATTCCACCCCACGCTTACCTAATGCCATAACCAATTTGTCTCTGCCTGCCCCACCTGCCTTTATTCTGTGTTAATTGGAAAGCCAGTTATACTGAGCGCATTGAATGTTTTATGTTTTGTTTTCTTGTAAGGTACAGTGGTCCCATCTGGCATCTCTCAAGAACAATGTTTCCCCTGTCTCGCGATCCCATTCCTTCAGTGACCCTTCTCCCAAATTTGCTCATCACCATCTTCGTTCCCAGGACCCATATCCACCTTCACGCAGTGAAGTGCTAAATCAGAGTTCTGACTCTAAGTCGGAGGTACCCGACCCCACCCAAAAGGCTTGGGCTAGATCAGACAGTGACGAGGTGCCTCCAAGGGTAAGAAGTAGAAAGACAGATGTGTGCTATTTTTTTAATTATTAATTATTATTTTTTTAAGGATGTGATGCCCTGGGCAGTGGGAAGACCGTGCCCTTGTGCCTGCATTGGTAACAACAGTATTTTGGAAGGCAGATCATAATATAGGTGTTCAGTCAATGGGTTAGTGGTAATCAACCTCAAGTACAATATTGAAGCTTCATATAAAATTGGCAATTATTTATTGAATGCAGTTATTTCAGAGAGACAATTTATTATGCAAAGTTAACAAATCATTACCATATTCAGGAAAAAATTTGAAATATCCCTGAGGTTATTGCTCAGAGTTAATTTTCCTCTTCATCTGTTATCAGCCCAAACTATGAATCATACACATATTTAAAATTGAGATGGAACTGAACAAAAAGGAAACATTCAATATATTACCTCCTCTTTTCCCCCTCCCACCCCCCCCTCCCATCCACTGGGATTTGCTTCTTCTGAATATATTCTTGCTCCCCCACCAGTCTTTGCCTTCTGCTGATCCATTCCCAGGCATTTGTTTGGTTCCCCTGAGCTTATTCTCCTAGTTCTCATGCTGTTTCAGCAAATTGCTTTGTGCCTCCCCTGCTTCAGTCAAAATGCCATATTCTTTTAGAATGTCTCAGTAGTTGGAGGGTAGTGGGGTGTGTATGTGTTTGTGTGGCAACTATTAAAAACTATATAATGTTAAAACTAAACTTTGAGTTCTCTTCAAAATCTGAGCAGCATCCCAACTAAGGCTCTTGGTTTTGTGGGTGTTTGTTTATTGCTTTTGGTCATTGATGCTAGCTTGGACTTAGAATTAAGTGTTTTTAAATCTTAAGAATATATTCTGTAGCAGGAGAGGTTTAATCTTCCTCTTCTCTCTCTCCACTTCCTGTGTGTAACACAACTTTTTTTCTCCCAAGGTACCTGTGAGAACAACATCCCGATCACCAGTCCTGTCCCGCCGTGATTCTCCCCTTCAGGGTAGTGGGCAGCAAAATAACCAAGCAGGTCAAAGAAACTCCACGAGGTTTGTAAGCTTACATGTTCCTGCCTTTCTTGAATTGGAAGGAAAAGGCTCATGGGAAGCCAGGCATTTCCAGAGAGCTTTTGGAATTGTCTGTTGGATGTGAAAGGAAGATGAATTTGGATCCCTTTTCATTAATGATTAATTTCTGTTGGTGCAGCATGTGTGCCAACAAACGCTGGCAAAATTTCTTTCCTCTCCTCCTTTGAGTTGCCTGCCCTGTAACTTTAGCAGTAATTTCAAAACGTCCTAAGAGTTCTGGAAAAAATGTGGCCATTCATGAACATCTTGCCTTTTGGTGTAACAGGTCATCTTGGGCATCCTGTGGTGATTACTGGCAGAAGTGGTTTTAACATCTGAAGGGAAGGAATGTCAGAAACTTTCTGGCTTCTGGGCCAGAACCAGACTTTTAAGAGGGAGAGAAGCATCCATGAGCCATGACATAGAGCATGTGAAGTCAGGAAGGAAGAGGAAGGGGCTGCCTCGAGAGCTCAGCAGAGCAACATGTACAGGCAACCCTGGAATTGGGTCACTGGACAGGGGTGAGGGTATTCAGAGAGGGACAGGCAGTGATACCTTCTTTTTGGCTTTTGTGCTTGGGTGGCCAAGGCACTTCTGAGCCGATTTTAAACCTGCTGCATGCAGGCTAAGAGAACTGTCCACTTCAGGTTAGATACATAAGAATGTTAAGCAGTCCGTTCCAAATAAAAATAACAGCTTACATCTACCTAAACTTTTGTTTTTTTTACCATCCTAAATAAGGTAATAGGTATTTCAAAGGGAGCTGCTGCCTGGGTTGTGAAGCATCCCTGATGCCCTCACAGTGTTAAGTGCTCTTTCAGATGAGTTATTAGCAAAACACCAAGGAAGAGTGAATTTATTAACGGGAATCTAAACTGAAGTGCATGACAAAGACTTTCTTCCCTTCCCTGATAACAGCAATATAGAGCCTCGTCTGCTGTGGGAAAGGGTGGAGAAGCTTGTACCAAGGCCGGGCAGTGGCAGTTCTTCGGGTTCAAGCAACTCCGGCTCACAGCCTGGATCCCACCCTGGCTCTCAGAGTGGATCTGGAAGGATGAGATGTAAGTCCTTCCCCTACCCTTCATAACGTCATGTTTCTAAATTTATTAAGTTGTGAAACACTCAATAATGAAGATGATAACCCTCACTGGGAAAGACCTTTGAGTGTGCACTATCAAAGATGGATTACCTTTCAGTGCCCCCCTTGGCTGAATGTCCTTGCTTGGGAAAGACGGCAGGTGCCAGAGTCATTGTAAAAGTGTTTTATTGTTCTTTGATTCACATCCAGTCACTGCTGCATTTTCCTATGTGTGAACAGCCCAGTCTCTATGCTCTCATAGCTCCCTTCCTCATGTGTGCAAAGGCATATTTTGATGCTTGTTGCCTATCACCTTGGTGGTTGTTGACTGGGTGCAGACTGCTATGGGTAGGTCTCAGCTGGAGTACATTGGATGCTGATGGAGGTTTTCCAGCTTGTGGCCACACTCGAGGTACCTTCTTTGCTTTACAACTGTGTGATGGTTTATTTTGGCTTCAGTCATAGGTCAACTGCACCTATACAGATCACAGCTTATGATGTTTTCTGTATAGTCCTTCAGGGACAACGTGATAGTGAAACAGCTCTTGCTGCCAGGCACTGCCTGATAGCCTTCTCACCTCTCTTCCCCACTGCAAAGTGAAGTAAGAAAATGTATTTTAGCTCCCTGCTTAATCTGTTGTGTTCTGTGGTTTTTTTGGGGTCTTGACACACACAGCATCATCCAAATCAGAGGGTTCGCCATCGCAGCGTCATGAAAGTGCACCTAAAAAGCCTGAAGAGAAAAAGGAAGTCTTCAGACCTATCAAGCCTGCTGTAAGTTGCATCCACTTTCCTGAATCCCCCTTCTCTTTCAGATAGGCTCACAAAAAGTACAGCCCATTCATGGTGCCATTGGGAGTGAGCTTCAGCTCGAGTTGGACTTTTTATCTGTGGGCCTAACAGCACATCCTGGGCTCTGCAATTGCCTGCATGCATCACAGTACTTTAAACGTTAGAATTTTCTCTGCTTCTGGAATTGATTTCTGCTCTCTGGTCCTCCTTCCTAACTTTTGCCTTTCTCTCTTTCAATCCTGTGCTTCCTTACTGGGGCTGGACCAATGATCATGCATTTGACCTGAATGTGCCAATGCTGGGCTGAATGGTGCAGGGAGAAGTGGTAAGACGTAAAATTGTTGCTATTTTCTGTGAAAGAAAGATTTTTGACATTTTCTTTCTCTGGCTGCTCTTACACTTGATTACAGCTCTACATCCAGTTATAGCTGGGGGATCATAGTGGGTTTTCACAGTATTTCCAACTTAAAACTTTTTTTCTCTTGCAATTATGATGCCGCATTAGCACCCAAATCTGTCAGTTAAAACTGCTCTCTTAAAGAAACATAGAGGTTGTTGGTCCTTCACTTTTAATAGTGTGAAGTATTTGTGAAGTATTTGCCATAAACTGTCTTCAGCTAAATAAAGCATAGCTACACAATTGAGAGCAGGTTGCACTGACTGCAAACCTGATTTGCCCACACTCCAAGCTGCAGACAGAAGAGCAGCTTATATCCCATACTGTCATGTGTGACTGAGCTGTTGCAAATGAATCTGATTTCTCAGGTGAACTCCATAGTGTGGATCCATGCAGCTGAAAATGGATCAAAAGTTTACAAGGAGATCAGTTCTCTGTGACTGTGCCTTGGGTGGCTCAATAAGTCTTAGGATCTTTCTTCTACCTTGCTGCTTAGATTTCTTGTGGTGGATGTTATTCACCTGTGAAGTTTAGGAAAATGCGCTGTGACAGTCAACGACTGTGTGAGAGTGGGCCCGGGTGCTTGTGTATGTCCCTCAGGTGGTATAATGGGATAAATTGAAGTCTTAATCAGGATAGTTTGGATTGAGAGTATGCACATTTTTCTATAATCTGGCAAAACCTCCTTAGGTTGACTCTTTTGGTCCTTTAATTTATCAGAAAGTGAGTTTTGGTAACTATCAGGAGTGAACAAATCAAAGGAAACAGTACTGCTGGGGCTGCCAAAACACAGCAGTAGACAAGTTAGCAAACTCAGACACTAATCCTGTGGGTTTGTCTTGCAAACTCTTCTCCTCTCTTCCTTGCAACATCAATTTTTTCCTCCCTCTCCCATCAGGATTTAACTGCATTGGCAAAGGAATTGCGAGCGGTAGAGGATGTGCGGCCTCCACATAAAGTAACGGATTATTCATCCTCAAGTGAGGAGTCAGGGACAACGGATGAGGAAGATGATGATATGGAACAAGAAGGAGCAGATGAATCTACTTCTGGACCAGATGATGTCCGAGCAGTGTTAGTTCTTCTAACAGTGTCTTGCTTCTGTTTTCCCTTTTAGGGGGTTGAAGGAAAAGAACATTGGGTATTTTGGCTTGTATGTTAGTTCTTTAAGATTACAGCAATTTATGAGCAAGACATAGCAGCCTTGTATGTTCACGTTTCTAAACACTGAGGGTAATCTTTTCAAAAAGTAGGCTTCTATAAGTTATGTCCTTTCCCTCTTCTCCTTTGATTTGTTACAAAACAAGAAGCACTGTTTAACAAACTCCCGATGTTTGTTGTTTTCTTTTTTTAATAGAGGAGCTTTTCTAGGCAGGTTATGTAAATATTCCACTCTGGTCACAACATAAATTAATTTTGAGCGTGCCTTGGTGCAGGGCAATGAAAGCAAGGGCACACGTGCTATTATCTCACTCCAGTTATTTCTTATCCGGCAAATAGGTCAACGTTGAACTTGAGCAATGGTGAAACAGAGTCAGTGAAAACCATGATCGTCCATGATGATGTGGAGAGTGAACCTGCCTTGACTCCTTCTAAGGAGGGCACCTTAATTGTCCGACAGGTATTGCTTTTCCTTCCCTGTGCTGTGCTGCACGTTTTCTGTGCTCATTAACCCACTCGCTCATTCACCCATGCTGTTTCTACATTATATTTGTTGTTTGTATTATCAAGACACAGCTGTAGTGAATTTCAGATGAGCAAGATGTTTGATGCATGCAAAGAAGAGAGTAGTCCTTCACCCCTTGCTTCTGTTTTGCATGCTTCCCAGTGACACTCATGGCAGTACCATGCAGAGTACCTCAAAGTCTGTGGGAGAGAAGGGTAGAAAAGCTGCAGGTGTGTGGAGCAAGTACCTGGAGCAAGAACTTAGTTTAGTTTTACCATAGAACCAAACATGGTTCTCGGGAGTGGGGCTGGGAGGGAGGCTGGGGGAGAGCGTTCAGGGTTTTTATTAAATTGTTTTGAACGCGTAGTTGAGGGCATAGACCACTCAGATAACATACACACGCACACATGTACATATAAATTCATGCAACAGTTAGTGTGGGGAATGGAGAAGCAAAATAGGTGGCAAGGCAGAGAATGTGGACAGAGCTAGAGCACTGTGTTGTTGCCTTTGATTCTGAAAATATTGCATTCTTGTCCTTCTGAAAGATAATTATTCCCTGCTTTTAAATGAGCTTGTGTGTTAATGAGCGTGCTAGCTTATAGGAGTTTCCTCGGTAATCGCATTTCTGAATTTCACAAATGAATGCAAATTTCTTAATTGAGCCTTCTGGTTTGAAAATTAAGATTTCATCCTTATTGTTTTAAATAGTTAGCTGAAGGCATTTGCCAGACAGTCCAAGCTCGTATCTGTATAGGACTTAAGTTAGTTTTAAACAAAGCAATAGAGGAAGAAATCCTCCTCCCGCCCCCAAAAATGTGCTTGTCCGCATTGTGATGGAAGACTTACCAGTGCAGTTACTCTTTTGTTAATTAGTGGAACTGGTTGTGCAAGTCAACCACAGGAACTAAGCTTTTGCTTGCCGGAAGAGGTGGGAATTTGCTGAATTCTAGTAGCTCTGCCCACCTTCCCTTTCCATCCAGGCATCAAGGCGTGGATATCAGTTTATCTGAAAAAAATAAATGTTAAAAGGTAGGAAGAGAGCGAGGGAGAGAAGGAGAGAGGTTGTTAGGGATATAGACCTTTAAGCAGCACTTGAGCAAGACAAGTGTGCCTGTTTTTTCTACAGAGTACAGTTGACAAAAAGCGTGCCAGCCATCATGAGAGCAATGGCTTTGCCGGTCGCATTCACCTCTTGCCAGATCTCTTACAGCAAAGCCATTCCTCCTCCACTTCCTCCACCTCCTCCTCCCCATCCTCCAGCCAGCCGACACCCACCATGTCCCCACAGACACCCCAGGACAAGCTAACTACTAATGAGGTATGTCTTACACCACAGCTGGCTGCTTTCGTAGGGTTATAGCAGCATTGCCTAGTAGCTAGTTTGCAAAGGAACTCCAGCCAATCTCCCCTGCTTTTTTTTTCTGTCACCTTTGTTCCCGCCCCCCAAATAACACATTTCAGTTCTGTGTAAGAAGCCCTTAACTATAGAGCAGTCCCATGCCAAACTTGCCAGTTTACTATTTTTGCTTCTTCTCAGTGAGTCATTAATTGCATGGCATTCGTTTTGAACTAAACTTGACTACCGCATTTTCAAGCCAATACTCTTTTATTTTTTAATTCTGTTTTATTCTGGGGAGCAGGCTAATTGCAAGGAGTGTGCCTCTTAAAAATTAGCGGTTAATTTTGGCTTTCTCAGTAAAGGCTGGGCTAGTAACTCCGCACCTATGAGGATGCTTGTGGAAACTCACCCTTTGGGAGAGGAAGCAGCTGTGTAGGGATTTTGCTCTCTAAAGCTTGCCACATGGGCTGGGTGAACAAATCAGGTGTTGCCTGGGAGGGTTGTAAAAGCCTGGGATATCATTTGGGAATAACGAATGGGGGAAGTCTTTGGTTTTTTCCAAGTATGTGTGTACTCTGAAAAGCAGCTGTGCAAAGATGACTCTTCTCCACCAGTGCTTCTCCAGGTGGAGAAGCAAGCCCTTACTCACCAAGCACTGGTGGACAAGCCTGATCTTTCATGTGTGTGTAACCCCTTGCAGCAGAGGAGGTGCACATGCATGAGTGAAGGACATAATTCACCCCTCACCAGCCCTCACGCTAAGCGAGGAGCCCAGTGTGGTGGCTCCATTCCTGGCTGGGTGGCCAGCCTGGCTCTCGGGGAGAGCCTCTTTCTGTGTGCAAGGAGTGGTAAAGGGGGAGCAAAACTCGTTGAAAACAAGCAGTTGCTTCTCAGGGTAGAGACATCCTGCCATGTAGGCATGCAAGTGCTGTGACGAGAAGAAGAGGTTGCGGTGAGCTGGGCAGACTGATGGCAATGCACGTGTTTACCACAGGATCAAAAATGCTTCTGAACCGTGTAGCAGGAGGGTGGGTGGGAGGGTTTCCTTCTGGAAGTTCGGTTAGCATAATACTTAATTTTCAGCTATGCTTCATTGGTCTTTGATCTTTCTAAAAGCACAGTCTTGTAGGTTATAGAGATCAGTTGATTCATCCAGAGATATGCCTGCTCCTTACTTTGATCTAAGCAATAAATAAGCAGGGTTCAGTTAACTCAGCTTGGGAAGTAGAGGCTGTGGCTGTAGCTGGTGGTAAAGGAGCCTTTCGGTATTGAGCTGTGCAGGGAAGCGATAACACTCCTAGGATCCATTGCTGTTTTTTTGTGTGGAGAGTAGAGGCTTAGAAAGATCAGAGGTTGAAGATTAGTTGATGATAAAGAAGTGTCTGTAGCCATGTTTGCATAAAGCTGAGCAAAAACCCAGTACTGCTTGGTATAACTTACCCACATGCACACCCTTTATATACTTTTTTTTTCCTTCATGTGTCCCATTCTGCTTCAGTATGCAATGTTGTCACTGTAATACTAAACTGGCAAGGGTTTTTAAGTTGTTCCATTTCCACTTTTAACAGTTCATTGTTTCACTTGTCGTCTTCTTTTCTTTATGTTTTTTCATGTTTAGATCACATAACTCAGCAAGCACCAGTGATTTTATCCACTACATATTCATAGCTTCATATCACCGTTTGATACACCTTCCACACTAATGAGCCCCTTTGTTCAATACAGGTTTAATATGTTGCTTTGTCAAATAAAGGTGGAAGAATCACTAGCTGCAGCTTTCTGGCAAGAGGCTCAGGTTTCACAAAATAGGGAGAACAAACAATAGTGGGCACTGAAACTTAACCCATTTTAGAAGTGAATGCTTGATCCCAGGTGGTTCTGATTTTGTTGTACAAGCCAAGAGATCAAGCTTCATAATTTATTAAACTAGCTCACTTTAGGAGATGCTTCATAAATATAAAAGTTGTAGGTAGTGGACAGCTTGCAGATGAGATAGTGTACATACATTTAAGCAGATTTTAAAGAAAAGAGATTTTAAAGAAAAGATTCCCCTTGCTTTGTACGTGATTGTAGTGGCCAGTCCTAAAAATCTTTGCTAGCAGCTGAGGTGACAGGGACAATGATTTAGCTAATTGCATTTCACAGTAACATGTGCAGTGTGCATATGTATGTAGTTCAGGTGTGGTGCCTGCAGTGCATTGTGTACGTATAAAGGAAGTACAAAAGCTTGGGGAGACTCTGTAGCATAATTCTGTAGTGACTTTAAAATGTTGGTTGTTGTTATCCGTGCTTGTTGTTGTCATTAATATTAATAAAGTTGAAATTTACATTGCAGACTCAGTCCGCTAGTAACACACTCCAGAAACACAAATCTTCCTCCTCCTTTACACCTTTTATAGACCCCAGATTACTACAGATTTCTCCGTCTAGTGGGACAACTGTGACTTCTGTGGGTAAGTAAAGCAGCTGAAGACAACAGCTGAAAAAGGGTTCAGTAACTTCATTGGCTCTTTAAAGTACTTACGAATGTTACCATCATGCTTTTTATTTGATTTGCAGTGGATTGCATAGTTTATTTCTTTTGCCATTTACATTTCTTACAAAAAGAAAGACTTGCTCAGTATTCTCAGTTACTGATTTGGGTTGTTTGCTGTAAAGAAGATATGGCCAGAATTTAACACTTAAGGGTTATTACAAGCACTTTACTTTTCTTTTTTTCAGTAGGATTTTCTAGTGAAGCAATGAGATCAGAGGCAATAAGGCAAGACCCTACACGGAAAGGATCAGTTGTCAATGTGAATCCCACGAATACGCGGCCACAGAGTGATACACCAGAGATTCGCAAATACAAGAAAAGATTCAATTCTGAGATACTATGTGCTGCCTTATGGGGTAATGCAAACCTGTTCCTCCCTTGCCTCCTGCACTTCCGAAGTGCAGATGTGCCAGTATGAGCTTACAGTCTTTGAGAACATATCTCTGAAACCTTAGCTGTTTCTCTGCATTTATTCAATGCTTGTTAATATATATTTGTTATAAGAGCTGCTTATCATTATGCTGCTTCTGCTTTGATATAATTTCACACTGCTCTATATATGCCTCTGATGGCACAGATGAGACTTCATTTAGCTGATCAGGATGTCGTTTTCTCTCTAACCCCTGTTAGTATATCTCGTGCAACATTTGGGAACTTGTGCTCATCTTTTTTTGCATTGTACACCTCGTGCATATAGGGTATTCCATTTGAAAAAAAATTATCTTCTTGAGCCTCTTGCTAATGTATTGTTGTAGAGCTTCATTAAGCTGTGTTTTGTAAGATGGCTTTCCACCTCAGTCATCAGCTTATGTAGGAAGGAAGAGGGAAAAGAGAAGGGTAGGAGAGACATTTTCCAGTGTGAGACCATGGCTTGGTTTTGTTAAGAGTGGTTAGTGCTGAGAGAAGCTGGGTATGGGATGTCAGCTGATGAAGTGTGTCTGGCCTTCTTGTCACAAGGGGTGATTTATGTCAGTGTCAGACAGTTAGTCAAGATCCTGCACTGGTGAAAGGCTTAGAGCAGTGCCTGTTGCCTGCTACAGTGTGGAATCACTGCTGCAGCACCCAGTGAAAGCTTTTCTCTGTTCTGTCGTTTCTTTCTTGGCTAGAATATATGGGGCCATGTGAATTTTTTCATTATCCAGATGTTAATAGATGATGCTTGTGTATATTACATACATATTTATCTAGTATCCTTAAACTTAACAGACTGTAAATGCCTGTGCATATCATTTTAAAGCCTATGAAGAAGAGAATTGGCCATTCCCCTGAGTCACACGATGTTTGTATAGGTAACACAGTGCACTTTTCTTGTTTACGTTTTCATAGCTCTTTCTAAGACTTTAGTTCTCTTTTGGGGTTATTTCCAGATATTCTTGTTTCTTAGAACAGCACTGTTGTCCTATTCTTCTTGCCTGCAAAGCCATGTCAATTAAATAGCTCTCCCAACATCTTATCTTCCTATCTGCTGTTTTATTTATTTCCAGAATTTACTGGTAAAAATTTTTACTCTAATGCTATTTCTACGTGTATTCATATTAATAGTTCTCTGATAAAATTAAAAGACTTGTGCAAATGTAAACTTTCAGACTGTGAGATGGTGAAGGCAGAGAGAAATAATTTGGGATCAGTAAAGATGACTCATAATTTATCTGATCTGCCTTGTTTTGCCCATGGCAATTTGTGTTAATGGTTTTATATTTCTTTGATCTATGTATCTGACTGTTATGGTGATTTAAAATACAGGTGTAAAATCCTAGAGGTACTTTACAGCTCTAACAAAGCACTTCCTTGTTGAACATTTAGAGCCAAACTGATGGTGATGTAAGCTGTTACACATGCTTATTTCTTGATAAGGTTAGGCTTCCTTTACCCTTAAGCAAATAAAGCCATTTCATGGTGATCTCTCTTATTCAGAAAAGAGGGGAGCTTGCTTTACTTTGTTTTGCTTTGTCCTCACCAGTGGAAATGCCATAGTATCTGGCAGGTTGCTGATTGCACTAGGTCTACTGGTATTTCTTCTAGTACCGAGTGGTGTAAGTCGACATTAATGATATGGATGCAGTAGCATAGATTTTTACACCCAGCCCCCACAGAGAGCCTGTACTTTCTCAGGAAGCATTTCCATTTGTTTGAAAAACCAGAACTGTTTAATTGTAGGGTGGCAGTAGAAGAGCTCGGCTGGCTGTGAATAAAGACAGCACCTGCATTTTAAAATACAGGCACTGCTTGCCACCAGTGTGCTACCTCATTGGTTTCATCTCAAAATGCATATAACTAAAGGACAGGGTTGAGGACGGGTGTGTGTGTAAACTTGAAGCAGAAACAATGGCATCGCAAAGGCAGCAGAGGAAGAGGTGAGGGTTGAGGCAAGAGCGATTGAGCCCTGACACGCAGAGGGGGAGGGACTGTGAGGGAGAAGTTTCCGTGTGGCTTTGTTTGTACAATATTCCATGCTGAAAAAAATACAAAAAATGTGTGTCAAAGCTGGATCACTGACAACTTCAGTCAATGGGAGAGGAGACTGAGTGCTGGGCGGCTCCTCAGCCAGTTTGGTGCTGCTGCAGCCTGTGCCGAGCACTGCCTCAGTGCATGCATTGCTCTCCCTGCTTCCTTCCACCCTTTCCCAGTCTGAGGATGCCTCTCAGTATGGGAGACGGGGGGCTGTGGGACTGGAGCCAGTGGGTGCAGACCCAGGTAGGGGATACAGAGGCAGGAGGAGATGTCAGCAGCTGAAGGAGAGCCCAGGAGGTTTGCAGGCCCTCTCCCAAGATAGGTTCTGTGCCTGTCAGTGTTGGTGGGCTCTCCTGCCTGAAGGAGGCAGAGGAATAGCAGAGCAGCAAATCTGAGCAAAGAGACATGATGGTTTCTGGGAAGTGCTGGGACCGCTGAAGTTTACTCTCTGAAAAAAAAGGGTAAAATGGAGATGCATGGGGGTTTCTGACCTCTCTGTGGGCTACGTCTGTTTTTTGCATCCAGCCAGCAGCTTTTCAGAGTTCCCTAGCACCAGCAGCTCACATCCCTTCCCCATCATTACCTCCTCCTGGCTGTGGCTCTGCTCCCCCCTAACACCCTGTTCCCTTTGGGAGGCACCTCATGCACCCCTCCCTTTTTCAAGCTGCTCCCATGTCTAGGAACTAGGGTGGTGTTTAGGTAGTGTTACTCACCTTTGTGAGCAATGCCCTTTTTCGATACGGTGAGAAGGCATGTCACTGCTATAGATGCTACCAAGAAAGAGACTTCTGTGCAGGGGGCCCATGTGCTGCATTAGAAAAAAGTTAATTACAGGATCAACCCAGATGATACCTCCATTGGCACCAGTATAGTTATAGCTGGGGATTAATTGTATGACTAGGGATTAAAGCCGTTAAGCAATGCAACTATGATCACCTTGTCTGAGTTTCACATTTCTTATTTCATTACTTTATTATGGTTAAGGATGACAAGTTTTACATTGGGATTGCACCACAGAAGTCTAATAAAGTGAGTCACGCATTTGGTTTGATTTCTGTTCTCTGAATCTAACATGTCTCTGCAGTTTGTGGGGTCCTAGACCAAAACACTACTGCAAATAAGAAGTCATGAAATTTAAGAGTGATAATATATTAATAGATTTTTAAAACCTAGTCTCATATATATATATATTTATTACTAAAAAAAGTGCAATTGATTTTAAGTACTAAGGTTTGTGGACTCTTGGAAAGTGTTCTACATTGACCTTTGTAGAAAGAAGCTGGCCTACTGTTTTTTCTCATCTGTATTTGCTTGATCTTCAGGGAGAAATCTGTGGAAACACAAGATTACTCTCAATTCCTCTAGTTTTAACATTCAGATGGAAAAGATTGTTGGGAAGCTGAGGATCAACCCTGTGCCTATCCTTTTACAGCAGGGCTGCACAAAAATCTGTCTTTCCCTGTGTGGACCAACACCCCACCACTGCTTTTTTGCAGTGCCGTTGTCAAGAGCATCCTATTACCAATCCCCCCACCAACAGCTAATGCATCTTTGGAAGACATAAGCTTGGGTACTGCTTTGTGCCTCACCCATTCTCCAACATCCATGTGCCTTTTTGTTTGGGAACTAGTGCTCTAGAAAGCTCTCCATGGTCTACCAGTCTCTCACTCTCTTGAACACTGCAATTTGGTGTCAGTAGTCACTCCAGGCAGGTAATGTAGACAGCCTCTACATCATGAGATCTTTTAGGCTGCAGGCTGCTGAGACCCGACCAGGTTAGACCTGCTTGAATACAGTTGCTATATCAACCATCAGTTTATCAGAATATGTGGAAAATTGCCTACTAACTTGGATCTCTGTTTTTGTTTCTTCTAGGGGTAAACTTGTTAGTGGGCACTGAAAGTGGTCTGATGCTGCTAGACAGAAGTGGTCAGGGGAAGGTTTATCCACTCATCAATCGAAGACGATTCCAGCAAATGGATGTACTTGAAGGGCTGAATGTCTTGGTGACAATTTCTGGTAAAGTTAATTTTTCAACGTGATTTTTTCCCTCTTCCTGCATGGCATGGCAGAACACTTTTCTTGGCAGCCTGTGTATTGAGGGGGAAGTTCTAACTTGACTGAAGTCAGTGGGTTTTCCATCATTTCAATTCTGAGTCTACAGTTTGTTTCTGCAAGTGAATCACTTTCCACACAACATGCTGTGCCTGCTTATCCCCTGTCCTTCCTCCCATGGTGTGGCCTTTAAAAATGCTGCATGGGTTTCTGGGAAACATCTGGCTTTGTTTGTTTGTTCAGTGTTTGTGAGCTGTAAGTTAATGTTTTGTGAAGTTTGTAAAAATGGCATTCTTTCCCTCTGTCATGATTACTTTCAATGTGGCCTCCAAAACATGAACTGATATTGGTTTTAAAGACGTGTTAAAATCTGTAGAATGGGAAATGCTCTTGCAAAGTAGGGAAATAGAAGTGATGTGCAGTGAGTGTGTGTGAGAGAGAGAGGAGTACAATGTGTACATGATGTGCAAATTACCAGTGTGAGAAGGTAGATCGGTGTAGCTTTTGGCCTTTTCTTACTGGGTGCAACTGCAGATGGTACAGCAATGGGAGATGAAGGGTGGTGGTGATTGTTCTGTTTGTTTTGTGTGCGCCGATGAAAAATGTGTTCTGTGAAGCTTAAGTTTCCAGACTCTTTGGCTCCAGAGAGTTATTGCATAAGGTTATCCTGCTGTTAATCAACTTGATGTGGTGCACTGATAATCTTTCTTCACAGGTGTTGTTCAGCCATTTACTTTTCCTTTTGTTTAGTTTGTGAAATCAGCCTTTGCTACGCTGCACACGTGTGACAGGGAGAGGATGTTAAATGAGGTTTTGCACAGTGGTCCCTGTGTCGTCGTTCGGAGCTGCCCAAAATTTTGTTGAGGTTCCAGAGCCCCTCTGACTCCACCAGAGGAGCTCTCTGGCTCTCCCAATGCTTGTGCAAAAGGACACACACCTAGACAATTTAATGCAATTCAGTGCATTAGTGGTGTTATGCTACTACAGGTCCAAAGAACTGTGTCCATGCTAGTGTTTGTCAACATGGGACTTTGTTTCTGTCTAGAACAACCATATTTTATTTGCTTGTTGCATTATCAGCTACAGCTATGCTGTGAAATCTTTAAAAAGAACAGATGAATCAAGGAGAGTTTAAAAAAAAAAAACAACCCCACAACCTGCTGTGTCTCCTTTTGATGTCTAACACTGTATGCTAAAAATGTAAGCTATTTAAAAAGCACCGTTTGATATAATTTATTCTGTAGTAGACCTTATGAACAAAAATATTGTATAATCCAACTTGTGTAAAATCAGTGGGTTTGAAGCATACCCTACACAGACAACAAGTGTCAGTGATTCAATCTTGTGTGTAATTGTTTTAGGTTTATTTACATTTGCGTCAGTCACAATCCCAGTACCCTGAGACATCTGTTTTCTTTGTTTCCTTCAAAATTATTGCTTCCTCTGTGGAGACACGCTACATTAACCTTTAAGAAATCGACTGATCTTTGGTTTATGCCTTCATCTCTGTGTCAGATCTCCTGCGTTTTATGGGAGGTTACTGGAGTGCGAGGCGGGAAAGAGACATCCATGCCCAGTGAGGGCAGGGCTGGGAGAGCACACTCAGTGAAACTGTGATACTGTCAAGCCCAGGCTCCCCTTTACAATCCCTCTTTCAGCTTCCGTGCTGCCCTGCTCAATTTAAGCTACCCTCATCCTGAGCTTCCATTAGTGTCTTTTTATTTATGGTGAGTTGCTCCACCTCTCCAGGCAAACCAGGAATGCTGAAATGAGGTTGTGTTTCTGCAAATGGTCCATTTTAGCAGATTGGTTATGGAGGTGCCTCTGAACTTCATTCCAGGACTGCTGCTGCTTTGCTGGGAGCGTTGTTCAGCTCTCTACAGCCCACTTGGCCGTATGTTCCCTTGTCTTTTTCAGGAAGTGAAGTGCTGACGGTGGTGAGGTTTAAAAGTGTCACCTCATTGTGTGAAAAAGTTGCAGTGCATTAGGGTTTTGAGGGGATTGTCACCTACAATTGCTTTTAATATATACTCTTTTGAGTCTGGAGACTTGAAATAAATTCTTACCCCAATGTATATCTAAAATACAAAACTTCTTGGCAGCAAAGCTTTTGATACTGAGCTGCTCCAGCTGGTACAAGAAAGCTTTGCAGGTCAAAGCAGAGTAGTTAACTGGTTCTTCAGTGGATATGGTTGGGAGGCAAAAACATAGTTTTGGCTATTCAGTAATACAGTGCTGACAGTCATAAAAACCCTGGAAGAGACGGTGATGACGTGCATATAGAACATGCTCTGCTTGTGGTTCCTTGAGGGTTTTGCCAGCCCAACTGGATGATGGTGGCACTCGGGAAGGTAGGAAGGGATGACAGAGTAGAAGAACTCGTTGGAATCTGCCTGCTTAACAATTAAAAACCACAGCAACAATAAAAACAAAAACTAAATATAGGAAAAGGGACTTTGCATTTGAAACAACATCTGTGGGAGAACCAGAGCCAGGAGTTCTCATAGAAGTCACTGGTTGATCAGTTCATTTGGTGGCTGGAGCAGAGTTCTCTTTCTTATGCCATGGCCATAAAAATTAGACCAGGAAAAAAAAATTGCCAGATTTTTGAGGCCTTTTTAAACTGACTGGTAGAGATTTACAAGCAGAAGGATGTAATCCCCCAACTCCCAATATGAACATTAAGAGCAGCATAACTTGTTGAAATACATGCACAGCCATGTTTATATAACTAACCAGTCCTGCTCTTTTCAAGTCAGGCTGCTGTGAAAGGCAGAGGAATTTCCTGTCTTGTGACTTTCCTTGTGGTCTAGACACTAAAACACAGTGGGAGCACACTTGAGATGTTTCTCTGTTGTTGTTTTGAAAAATGTTTCTGGTTGGAGAGAAATACGCTGGTGCACATCATGTGAACCAGAAGAAAAAAAAAATTAGCCACGTGGTGGGGAATTCCCATTTGTACTGTTTATTCTGTGTCTTAAAGTTTGACTAAGTAAGTTATTGGGGAAGCTAAAGCCATGGAGATATCTGAGAGAGACTTTGTCTCCTGATGAACGAGAACTTGTGATGGTTTTAAAAACATGAGGTGGATTGTAGTGACCTTCAGCTCTCCAGTGCTCTCTGAGCTCTTCCTTGCCCAGAAGTGCAATGCCTTCTGGTCTGCTCTGTTCCCTATTTCAGTGTTTCTAAAAGAGCCCTTGTAGCTATTTTTTGCAGTATTTTCATGGGAGGACTTTTCCAAATCTTACAGAGCTATGGCAGTGGTGGAGCTTTATCCCTTTATGAAACTTGTCTTAATAAATATGAAGTCAGGCCATAAATCCGGGTGCTCACTTACTGCCAAATCTGCTGTCACATTTGTAGTAGGGATAAACAAAAGACAGTGCAATGTTACTTCATGTTTCATTTGGTGCCCTCAGAGCAGAGGGGCTTTTAAAATTAAATAGCAGGTCCAGTATTTGAAACTGAGTCTCCAATTCCACTTTAAATTTAGGCTCAGTGAACAGATTTTTCACTTTGCAAATGCCTCCTCTTTTCCTCCTGCCCTTCCCCATCTAAGTAATCATAAAAAAGATCTATGCTGTGTGTCTTCATAACAGAAAGGCTTGTGGCACTGGAGTCCATGGAGCAGCCTGTTTGCAAGCTGTTCTTCCTCATGTGCTGCCCCAGCCCTTGCAGCTGCTTTTGCTGAGGAGCCTGGCTCTGTTAGGGGATCCCCTGCCATCAGGGTTGGGGCTCTGTGCCAGCTCCAGGACCCCAGTGAGGAGCTGGCTGGGCACAGTAGGATGGTTTCGATGCTTGGGCTTCGCATCCTACTGTAACCGGTATACTCTGATGCTGTACACCCATCCCTGTCTCTGAAACGAGCAGCTATCCGCGAACTTGATCCATCAGTAGGCATTGTGTGAAAACTCAGAAGACTGAATTAAAGACGTTAGCTAAACCCTTTAGTTGGGTCTGGCTAGCAGGCTGCCAGGTGGACCATCCTGACAGGTCATGGCTTTCTGCAGCATAGACCAGTACTGTGTCACTTGGCCAGCCCAGTACTGACTGCAGCACAGGTCAGCTGTCTTCCTTTCAGCTCCCAGGGCCACGAAACACTGTCCACAGTCACCTGGCTGTCTCATGATGGCTGGCAAAGCACTACCATGGAGCTACTCGACTGATAAGTTGGATGTCTGAGAGCATCTCCTATTTCCTTTTCTTGAGCAGAGACATCACAGAGCCTTATTAAATGGCTGCTCATCAAAGCAGGGATGATCTCTCTTCCTCACTTCCAGCTTCGTATGTGGGACTGTAATGGCTTCAGGCAGCAAAGCTGGAGGAAGGAGGATGCAAGCTTTTAAGTATGTGCATTAGGACCACCACCTTGCTAGTTCAGCAAATGCTTTGTAGGCCATTAGTTGTTAAAGAATCACTGATAAAGTTTTTAATGAACCTTGGTCTACATTCAAAGAGGCCTTCTCTTATTGAGAATTAAGAGTCTGAGCTGTATTTTGATGACCATGGCAGATGTATTGTCAGTTGAAGATAGGGCAGCCTGGGCAAGTAGATTCTCTCACCTGGGGAGAAGAAACACCTCTTGCAGTTTCTGTGTGCAGCCTGATAAGTATTACACCCTTTACAGCACAAGGGAAGGGCTGCTGACAGAGCACTCATCAGCTTTTAGCAAGCAGATGGAGTTCGCGTGGGTCATGTGAAATTCTCTTACTGCAGTTTCAGATATTGTACATTTTTCCTTACAACCGCTGTGAAGTGGTTCAGTAATGAAATCGTTTAGTGCCATTGTTTGGTGTGCTTTTCTGACATGGGAATAATGAACAATCTTAATAAAACTTGACCAGTTTGTATCTCCAAGGATGATACAAGAGATGGAAATTTCCTGGTCACTAACTGGGAAGAATTTGTAAAATACATTTCATCACCATATTCTTCTTCATTTTTGCCTTCCTCCTTTCAAATGGGTCCTACTCTTTTGATAGCGATATAGATAATTTCAGGCCTCGAATTCCATCCTGCTGCTCTCCTACATTTTTGTGTGAAAAAGAGCTATTCTACCTCAGCTATGTATTTTTTTTTTATCTTGGTGCATGACTCTCCAGTGCTTTTGCTGTGGGAGTGTAACCCTTTTCTAATAAAAGTTATTTGCATCCTGAGGACCAGACAACTGGAGAGGTGTTCCCTTGAGTCTGTCATTTTATGGTCATGTGGTATTACCATGTATCTCAGTCATTGATTATTGGGAAAGCATGTATTTGGGCGGAGTCTGGAGTAAAGCTGTTGTGGATGCAAAAACTGAGGGAGATCTCTGTAGTTGCAGCAGTTTCTCCTTCATTGTTATTTTGGTTTGCTCTGCAGAGCTTTCTGTTTGCTTGGGCAGGGTTTTTTGCACTTATCTTCCTATGGAGGTAAATCAATCTTTTTCATTTTGTGGCTAGGTAAGAAAAACAAGTTGCGAGTTTACTATTTGTCCTGGTTAAGGAATAAAATCCTTCACAACGACCCTGAAGTAGAAAAGAAACAGGGCTGGACAACGGTGGGCGACTTGGAAGGCTGTGTGCACTATAAAGTCGGTGAGTAGCAAACGCCTTAATCAAACTGTTGGTCTAAAAGCTGGCTGAGAAAGGGACCTGCAGTGCGTGTAGCTGCTGGGTTTAAGGTTTGCTTTTCTTTCTAGCTGTCTTCTCTGTCCCTTGGGGTGAACTTGTCTGGCAAGGTACCAGAATAGATGGCAAGTTACTGGGTTAAACTGAATATGGGAGACTTTTTGTGGTGGGATGCTGGGCTGTGAACTGGAGCAGGTGCAAATCTCCATCTGACTCCTTCCTGTGGTGGATGCAGCTTCCAGGAGAGTGTTGATGTGGACAGTGAGGGCTGGTAACATTTCACCACCTCTGTTAGACCCTTTAGGTAACAGAGAGACTCTTGTCTAACCAGTAGCTGTTCTCTTTACTAACAGGTTTCCTTGATCCTTTACCAGGATAAAATCACATGCTGGAATGTAACAAAAAAAGTCTGGGTTTTAGTGTAGATTTTAAAGACTTGGGAAAAAAAGAAAAGGGAGGGGGGAAAAAAAAAAAAAAAAGCAGTGGGAGGAGAAAGCAAGCCCAGCTAGTGCATGGGCTTTGGTGAGGCATCTGGGCACAAGCATATGTTTAACTTCAAGATGATTCATTGATTCCCCTTAGCTCATAAAATTTCCTAGTGCTGTCTCAGATACACAGCAGTAGTTATGGGATGAAGTGTGTTTTCACTAGGCAGGTGCCTTTTGAGTGGTTTTAAGTAATTTAAATGGCTTTGGCTGTAGAAACTTCCATGAAAACTGGTGAAAGACCTGTAGCACTCGCTGTCAGCAGCATATGCAGTGAGCCTGCTGCCCTGCAGGTGGGGATATGAAGCAAGAGCTCTTTCTACTGCTTCAGTTTCGTGATGCATCTTAATGGGCACTGTTACCTTTGATTTGGTTTTCTCCTAAGAGCCAGCTCCGTTCCTTTCCAGCTCTCTCAGTCAGTGTGGAGCAGCAGCAATCTGACTGAGCTCAGTCCCCTTCTGTCATGCATGTACTCTTGGAAAAACCAGCTAGTGGGGCGTAATCAATAAGGATGGCAGTAAGTGACTGCTGAACTAAGAGCTTGATCCAAAAAACCATGAATAATGTACCTCTCTGGTATCCTACCCCAGGATGTCAGTAGCATAATGAAGTGGCCTGTTAACAGTACATTAACAGCTATTGACAGGAAGCTTTCCAGCAGGGAAGGCTGTGAAACAAAGAGCATTCTCTTCCAGATGAAGAGAGGTTTGTTACCCTGGGCTGCAGCCTGGCACTGAACTTCCCTCTGAACCATAGATGCCTTCTTCAGGTAGTGAGAGGCCTCTTTGGCAGCTGCACTTCAGTTCCCAAGAAGGATGAGCTCTGCCAGTAGTTGGGCTCCTGGTCTGGAGGTTGCTACCGGGGCAGCTGGCACTGGTTGCTTCCTTGTCTCTTTGATGCAATGGGGGGATCTCTGACGTCAGGGTGAAGTGGTATTTATGGATCTCAGTTGCTTCAGGCAATTTTTGGCTCCCCTAAATGATAAATTGCTCTTTGAAATTTAAGATTTGGGTGAATTCCCAGATAGCACCCAGAGCAAAGAATGAGGATTATCAAAGGTCCCCTTTCACAGATAAGGTGGTTTTGTTCAACATCCCCCTCTTACCCAAGAAAAAAATCCCAGAAGTCTTGTAAGCTAGACAAGACTGAATAAAAGCTCTGTTTTTCAGTCGGTACAGCTGTGGAGATTGAGACTCTTTTTTTTTTTTTTGTCTGTTGAAAAAGTGTCAGATCATTTAACACTTACAGTTCAGTAGTCTTGCTTCCCTTCTGAGTAAAAAGGGAGCAAGCAGTAGCTTTGTCTCCGTGTTGCCTGCCAAGAGACAACAACTGCATGCTTGTACAGTAGTAAGATATCTAAAAGGCATTAAAATAGTATATACTAAAGAAATGTTCTTCTCACAAGTCTGAGATTTTCACCCCTGCTGTGTTTCAAGATCTGTTTTGGTTGGGAGATACAATGGCAGAAGGTGAAGGTGCACGGAATTGCTCATTGTTTTGGAAAAGTGTCCTATTCCCCTAAAACTTGGAGTAAAGAGGTAGCAGAAGCTTCCTCAGGTTTCTCAATGTCATTCAGATAATGCTATTTTTTCTTCCTCTAGCCCAAAGAGAGTGCTGGAAACAGATAAACAAACATCAGCATTTTGAAGCCCTCATGGTCTGTTCCTTCCAAAATCCAGATGGCAGCTGGAAGTGCAGATCCAGCAACACTTCTGGTGTGGCCATTTCTAGACTTTATCAGTCCCCTTCTGAAAACAGTAGTCATGAACAGAGCTTTTTCTTACAGTAAATTTAGCCAACTGTTTGAATGTGGGAACAGAGATATACCTGAGAATTTGTATCAGCTATGTAATGACACTTCATTTCTCATAAATTCTGTGGCTTTTTTTTCCCCCAAATTAGTTATCTCAGGCTTTATGGACAAAGGAAAGTGCTCTGCTATCAAACTTGACTTTTGCTTTTTAAATGGATTTGTTTCTTAACTTTTTATTTCAGTTCTTTTTTTTTCCTCCTTTCTTCTGGGGAATTCTGCCATCAGCTCAAAATACCACTGTGACTGGAACTGCCAATATACTCTGCCATAGTCATAAGCTGCCTTTTATTGGAAATGTCCCTGTCTGAAAACTGATTTTCTTGTCTTGATGAGTAAGAATTGTCTAATATGGAAAAAAATAAGAGTGTAAATAAGAGTGTACCAACTAGGTAAGTCAAAACATGGTGACAGGTTCAGTTACTGGTAAGAGTAATTATTTTTGTGACATTAATGTGTCAAAATACTTAACTACGTAGAATTAGCAATCCTAAAATGCAGTTTTACTAGAAACTTCCAAATGTGTGTAAGTATGGAGAAATATTGTCATTTTCTGCTTTCCTGGAGTAACTGGAATGACTGGAATTACTGATGACGTTTTTGTTTTGTTTTGTTTTAATTTCAGTAAAATACGAAAGAATCAAGTTCTTGGTAATTGCATTGAAGAGTTCTGTGGAAGTCTATGCATGGGCACCAAAGCCATACCATAAATTTATGGCCTTTAAGGTAACAGTATATTTCAGCCATATGTAGGGTTTTCTTGTAGCCACTGCAGTTACGCCTTTTACAAAAATGTTTTGACATTTATCATGTCCATATTACAAGTTCTTTGGTAAATCTGCCGTGAACTTCGTGTTATTTTTTAATATAGGAGTTTCTTTAGCTCAAAGATGCAATACACTTAAAGTTCTAAATTGCAACTGAGCATAAACTAATAATGAAAATGACACAATATCACAATTGTTTGTTTTGCCTCTCTATAACTAAAACATGAGGCAGCCAGAAATGAACCGAGTCTAAACATCTTCATCTGAGCAGAACAATCATTAAGTAATACTCAGCATTGTTATTTTTTTGAATGCAGCAAGAATGAAGTTAGCTGGCTGGGTAAAATTGCCAGACTGATTTGCAGACAATCAGTTACTGCCAGTTGTGCAGGTTGACATAAATACTGTAGGAGTGTCAAAATTGCCCTGAACTTGGGGAAACAGTTCTTACTAAAAAACAAACAGACCAACTGAAGTAAACCCCACAGAAAGTAGTTAACGATATTCTGTGATTGAAGTGTAACAGGATGCAGAGTCCTTGTCCATGAGAGATATGTTAGCCTGACTGGTCTGGTGGATGGAGGCTAGCAGCATGTGGGAGGAATAAACCCATAAAATGTAGATTAGAGCATGTTTTTATGAAACCCGCCACAGTTCTAGGCACTAAAGTAAATACTGCTGATGGTTGTCTTGCAGTCATTTGGAGAATTAGTACATAAGCCATTGCTGGTGGATCTAACCGTAGAAGAGGGTCAGAGACTAAAAGTGATATATGGCTCCTGCGCTGGCTTCCATGCCGTTGATGTGGATTCAGGATCGGTCTATGATATTTATCTACCAACACATGTAAGAGCTGCTGCTTCGATTGGATTTTTTTCTTTCTTGTCCCACCCACACCCCCCACCCACCCCAAAATGGGCCTGCACTGTGCGATGCACCTCCCTAAGCACTGTTCACTACAGTGCAGAGGTTTAAGGTCGACATCTGGACTGCTTGTTCCTTTTCTGCCCATGGAAAGAAATGGGCACTCCTGGTTTTAGGTGTCTGCCTTCAGATGGGAGCATTTGTGCCCCAAATGTTTCTGTATCTTTGTTGTCACTGTGTAGGCCGCCTAGCTTGGGGAGAGCAGAACTAGCACTTCTAAAGTGAGTGAATCCCCAACCTGCTGTCAGCCAAAATCAAAAAATCTCCCAGCCCTTTCTCCCAACACAGGCTCTGTGACATTAAAACAAAAGGATTCCTCTTCTCTTCTGTCTCTGTAGATCCAGAGCAGTATCCAGCCTCACGCAATCATCATTCTCCCAAACACGGATGGGATGGAGCTATTGGTCTGCTATGAGGATGAAGGAGTTTATGTCAACACATATGGAAGGATCACCAAGGATGTGGTTCTGCAGTGGGGAGAAATGCCAACTTCAGTTGGTAGGTGTACCAGGAGAGTCAAATACAATGTGCCGTTAGGGAGCGTGAGTGTGTACATGCAGGCAGAAGGAGGGTACTTCAGATTTAGAAGCAGCGATGCTGTAGTATTCCTGGAAAACAGCTATGTGAAGTGGAAAGTAATCATACGGATCTGTTCTGTGCTGAGGTTTTAAGAACAAAATCCAAACAAGCAAGTTGTGGAGTTCAGGAGTGAAAATTTTATTTAATATACAGCAGGGCCTCAGTGGGTGGCTGCAGAATTTTTGCTAGATAGCCACAAAGTTGGGGAAACCTTTCAGTATGAAGACATGTAATGTGGCAGGTGGGTAATATGTTATTATGGGTAATTCTGTGTTGATAATGGTTGTATATCTGATTACTTTAATTCACCTGCAGATTGCTCATCTATCCTAGCATGATAATTCTCCCAAATCTCTCCAGTTGAAAATAAGGTTATTTTGAGGGTGGAAGCAATGAGTGTAGTATAATGGGGGCAGATTTGTTACAAACACAAGTACACACCAGGATCCCTCTTTCTGCCTGTGTTGCTGTATTTCAGTGCTGAGCGTAGCAGGGACTGTGGTTACACCTTCATTTTTTTGGGCAAACGCATTAAGTTTCTGTGCTTTGGAATAGATGCATGTATTGGGAGGTGACTGCTGATAGTTGTTCAAGCAATGCTAACAGTAACAGAAGAGGAAATTTATAGAAGTTTCATGCACACCATGTTCAATCCTGCAATGATTAACTCTTGACTAGACCTAAAAGCAAGCAGCATTAGTCAGCTGGCAAATTGCAGAGTCTTTGGGGACTGGAGTGCCTGTGAAGTAAATGGCACTGAAGCAGCCAACACCATCTCATCTGACAATTTTTAGAAGCTCTTTAGCCCAGTTACCACTAGTGACATATTTAAAAATAAATTTCCAGCTTGATGGTATATGCAATGTTATAGGTGTATATTATTCTGTAGTAGATAATTTGATTTAATTTCACTGAAAATGAATAAGAGAAAAATTCTATAAAGGTAAATACTGCAAAATTATTTTTTTTTTTTTAAATTTTGCTTGGTAAGAGCTATTGTTCTTTTTATTTTTCTGTTAAGTATGCATGCAAATCAGAGGCAACAGCTTATTCTTCATTAAGTTCCCATATGTTATTTTTGGCAGTGTTACTAAGACTATCCATCAAATTGCTTTTTTAATATACCTTTTCATAATGCTGGTGAATTTCTCCTTTATTTGATTTTTTTTTACTGGTATCAAGAACAGATTGTTTTCCTCATGCTACTACTAATCTGTTTCCCCCAGTCACACCCTTAAGGAAAAGTGCTTGATTTTTTGCTTTATTTGTGCACAAAGGAAAGCAGTATGACAAATAATACTATTTCCACTTGGAGAGCTTAATATGATCCTCTTTTAAGATATACAGAATACTTTTCTGACAAATCATCTTTCTGAAGAAGGAAAGCAGGTTTTTGAAGTATTACTCCTATTAAAGGGGGCTAGCTCATATTTTTTTAGTTTTCCCTTTCTCTGTTTTTGCTGACAGACTCCTTCAGGGAGGGAAAATAACACCATTAAGACACAGAGCTGGTGCTGGGTACATACCAGAGTGGATGGGTTTAATTTATTTAAACCTTGGGTGCTGCTTTCTCCTTGTCAACACCTAATTAGTCTGTCTCTTTGCCACACTTGGGAGAAAAAAGCCTGTGTAAAAACTTGATGTGCCTTCCATTTAACTGAAGGTTCGAAGGTTCCCATTGTGTCATGAATGCTCAGGCAAGACATATATTGCTAACATGGAAAAACCATGGGGAAATTAAAAAAAAAAGAAATAGGGTATTTTGAGGCATCTTGAAGATGCTGAGGACAGAAATAGCACTCTGAACATGTGTGTAGTTAAAATAAATACATGCAGGTCATTTTTAACTCAAGTGCATCAGTATGTTCCTCTGCTTTTTCAGTTCCTCCATGTTGCCCTCTACCTGTCCTAACGGGCCGTGTGCTGTGTTTTCTTTCCAAAGCGTACATCCGATCCAACCAGATTATGGGCTGGGGAGAAAAAGCTATCGAAATACGATCAGTGGAAACTGGACACTTGGATGGTGTGTTCATGCACAAAAGGGCACAAAGACTCAAGTTCTTATGCGAACGTAATGACAAGGTATAATTCCTCCCATCCCCTGGTTTCTCACGAAGATGGTAAACATGTACTTTCACTTGGTACTTGTGATGGGTTGACCCTGCCCAGCAGCCAAACACCCACCCAGCCTCTCGCTCACTCCTCGCTCCCGTGGGATGAGGATAAAAGAGAAGGAGGGTGAAAAGACTCATGGATCAAGGCAAAGACAGTTCAATAAGGACAAAAAAAGCTGTACACAGAAGCCAGGCAAAATAATTAATTCACAACCTCCCATTGACAGGCAAGATGTCCTGTGGCTTCCTGGGAGGCAGTGCTTCAGCACGCGTAATGCTTGCTTGGAAGGACAGATGTCATCACTGCAATGACCCCCCCCTCCCCCCCATTCTCTATTTTGTTGCTGAACATGCTGTTATATATTACAGGATATCCCTTCGGTGCGTTTGGGTCAGCTGTCCCAGCATTGTCCCTCCCCAGCCTCTTGCCCATCCCAGCCCACTAGCCTTTGAGGGGTGAGGGGGCCGGAAAGAAGGCCTTGATGCTGCGCAAGCATTGTTCAGCAGTAGCCAAAACATTGGTGTGTTAACAGCGCTGTTTAGCCACAAACGCAAAGCCCAGCACCATGTGGGCTGCTATGAAAGAAAGTCAACTCCATCCCTGTGAGACCCAGCAGGGCACTGCAATTGCACTGTAAATACCAGGGGCAGTAAAGACAGATCAGAGCCTCTGGTGTCCTACCTGTTGAATTTACCAGTCTCTTTTCTTCGCAGGTTTTCTTTGCCTCCGTACGGTCGGGTGGAAGCAGTCAAGTCTATTTCATGACCCTTGGCAGGACTTCTCTTCTGAGCTGGTAGAAGCAGTGGGTTTTGGCGAGGAATTGCTGACATCCAGAGTCTGAGATCTTCATAACTCGGAATTATTTTCAACTGGAGTACAGACCTGCACTAAGGCAGCACTCTGTGTAAATGTGTGTGCAGGCATCACTGGTGTTAGGTTTCTTTTTGTTTTCAACTGAGGCTGCGACGCAACTGGTGCTGTAAAGATATTGCCATCAGGTGCTACGATGTCTTTGAGATTTGGGATCATGCTAGAAAGCTACAGGTCTTCTTTCCCCTTCAGCTCCAGGATTCCTAGGCTTTGAAGGACTCTGTTTGTTAGTGTTAAAACAGAGAGGGGGGGAAAAAAAGGAAAAAAAACCCAGACTTACCATGAACGTGCTGTTGAGTGGACAGGAGGCAGGCAAGAGAAGGTGAGAAGTGGTGTAGAGAGTCAGACTGGCTGAAACAGAGGGCAGATCTAGTCTAGTAATGTTAACAATGTATTTAATTGACATTTCTTTTTTGTAATGTGACAATACGTGGACAAAGAGGAAGGTGGAGGTTTTAAGAAGTTAATATTTATAAAATGTGAAAAACACAGTGACTAGGATAACTTCTTTTTGGGGACACGGAGGGTGGGAAGGGGCTTGGGGTGGAATTCTTGGGGTTTTTTTGTTTCTGCAGTTTTATTTTGGCCTGGCCAATAACTTTAGTCATTTTCTGTGTACCAGGTATTGCCTGAAACGTGCAGATGATAAAAAAAGGAAAAAAAAAAAAAAAAAAAAAAAAAAAAAAAAAAAAAAAAAAAAAAAAAAAAAAAGGGGGGGGGGGGGGAAGAAAAAAAATTCATTTTCTATAATGATTCTGTGTTAGGCCAGAACTTGGTTATGTCACAGTATTAGCACTGCCTCAGTTAAAGGTTTAATTTTTGTTTAAACCTAGAAGTGCAACAACAGTTTTACCACAGTCTGCACTCGCAGAACTAAAAAAAAAAAAAAAAAAGGAAAAAAAGAAAAAAAAAAAATCCAAACTACATATGTTTATTTTTTGTGCCTACCTCATTGTTTTTAATGCATACAATAAAAGAGGTGGTTTAGTTTATACGTTTTTAGATGAAAACCATTAATGTCTAATTTAATCTTAATACCAAAACTACCAGATTGAAAGGTTTCTGACTGTTAATGCGTAGCAAGTTTCAGCA